TAAATATAAGTGTCATTTTTTTAACCTAAAAAATGCCTTGGTTTCTGTTTCATCTTTGCCAATTCTCCCACTGGCCTCTCTCCCCATAATGAATTGGTCTGCACACTGAGACGCTGGTCTCTTCTCCTGACTGCTGGGATGTTAGTATTTGGCACAAAAAGTGGGATGGTTAGGTGGGGTAGAGGAGGGGGAGGATTTAGAAGAACTTTGGGTTTCCTCTGTTGCAAACCTTTTGCGTAAATAAATAAATAAACCTAATTCCTCCAAGTGGGGCTGCAGCCAAGAAAACTGTTCTGAGAGAATTCAGATTTACGGCAGAAGACACTGCTGAGAGAAAGAGCGAGAAACAGAGACAGTGGAGTTCCACCTCCCATGATATATGGAGCCAAGGGAGGTATAAATACCCGTCACTTCCCGGACCCTCTTTTAAAAAAAAAGACAAACACCCAGGATCCTGTCTCTGGCTGCCTTGCAGCAAGGCGCCCTCATAAAAGCTAAGATAAACAGTTTATCAGCAGATGAATGCACAAGCTCTGGTCTAAAGACAAAAGTCTATACCTTAGGAAAAATGCAGAGGCAAGAGGAGAGTGGGCTGAGAGTCAAGCACAGTATTTCAGGAGGAAGAATGATATGAAATGAGAAAAATAGAGCAATTCTATAAGGATTCTTTTAAGGCAGTGGGTACATCTCTATGTATAGCTATACTTAAAGACTAAGAAATAACTTGTTTTATTTCTGGGGTCTTCTTCTTTTTGTTGTTTTATTCTTCTTTGTTTTAATGGATTAGTTATCTTAGGATTTACTCCACTATAAAACATTCATCCCATAGCCGAGTCTCAAAATATATTATTTATACATCGTTTATCACTGCAGATACAGATTCTTGGCCAAATGTATCCTTCCCTGTCTCCATTCTGTTGGGATATCAAGGCAGAACTTTTCTCTGTCAAAACATGTTTTACCTTCCAAAGTATGTGATTCATAACTGTTTTCCTCCAGAGCAGCTGATCACCTGCTGACACTGGGTCATCCTTAACACAGTCTTTATCCTGTGGCCCCTTCTGTGCATCAGGAATGGGGCAGAGTCACAGCACCACGTTTCAAAGGTCCAGCAAGATCTCCCTGAATCTTTCCAGACTAAAGAATAGAGCTTGAAAGTTGTAGAGAAATGATTTTCTACCAGTGGTGTGTGGATTCCTGGTTGGGGTCATACATGACCCGTGATAGCTCATAATGTAGATTGTCATGTAGTATATTTGAATGATGTAAACTGGATGAAAGCATCACCTTTAGAATTTCTTTAGGGATACACAGTTTAAAAAAAGGTAGAAAATTAATCTGTAAGGAGTTCTTTATAAAATTTATAAGACTGTGACCAAGGAAGAGGGAACTGGTCTAGGAGCTTGCTAGGACCTAAGACTAAAATTTAAGTGATTTTAATTCAGTTGTCTGCTCTATCAAGTACAAGTTTTCTCTATAATTTTATTAAAACACTGGACTCTTCCCTCTGCATTGATACATTGATACTGGTAGCATCTAATCAGACTCTCCAAAATCTCCATGAAGAGGCAAGGATTAGCATTCCTCCTCTACAAATAAGGAAAGGCAGACCTATGAAATGTGTTGCCCAAAGCCATACAACAAATTTGCATGAGAGTTGGGCAGAGGATTCATTTGGTTATGGTTTTGGTTTTCCTTTCCTTAACAAACCATCATTGTTTCATGCCAATGGATTTTTAAAAACAAGAAGCAAAAGGCAATGAGATCATGATTTAAATAGCCTTTAAGTGTACAAGAAGCAAGACTAGGTTCAAGGAAGCCTCCACTCCTAAGGAAGGCAAAGCTTTTCCAAGCACACCTGGCATAGTTCTTCCTCATCCCAGTTCTGTAGTGGTTTCTTACTTCCTGGGAAATTCCTTCCATGTTTCAGAGTGGTTCATGCATTGGGCGTGAGACCATTGCTCCACAGCAGACTGATTCTGCACCATGGGCTGAATTCAGAGGGGTGTCCCTGAGCACTGGCTTGGGTGAAGTAGATCAGGCCATTTGCCCTTAGTAGATTTAACAGGAAACAAATTTATCCTGAGTTCTTCCTGTGCATCCTCGCTGCTGTGGACTGCAGTCAGCTGCTTACATAATGTGTTTTCAGCGCTGTGCCTGCGGAGCCGTCAGCAGGGCCGTGCAGGCTGCATACCTCTTCTCTCCTCATCAGCGATGTGACCCTGCAGAAGTGGCATCTTACTCTTGCCCACATTGGCTTCCTGTGTGCCTTGAAGGCTGTATTTGCTTTGTCTACTGAAAAAACACATTTTTACTACTGACAGCACTCCAGAACCAATAAAGCTGAGGCGAAAGGAGTTGTTTTCTACTCTGCTTCATGCACCATTGCCAGTAGAATGACCAGCTAAGGCCTCTGTGAGCTGCTGGCCTCTCTCCCTATCCCAGGAAGGGTTGGCATTGTACACAGAGCCTGGATCACACCCTTTTACCTCCAGGTTTCATTTACTGCTGTTTTCAGCAAACCCTGAAATAAACCAGTTTCTTTTCTCTCTGACCCAGAGGCCTCTGGCAGGGTCACTGGCAGCTCTTCTTTCCCAGTCCTGCTATCAAGCCATTCCACCAAGAAATTCTCGGGCCACAAGTGACTTCTGTCTCTTGTGCATCCCTCGAGCTTTCCCAGCCTCGCCAGGAGCCCAATGCACCCGAGGTGAGGTGGGCACATGTGCTTCAGCAACTACTGAGCTTCAGCCTGCTCTGCTCACAGCAGACCTCCACCTCATTCCAGAAACTTCCTCCTACAGGTAGCTCAGTTCAGAAGGGAAAGGTCCTCCAGTCCTTGCTTATGGTCACAGCTGGGAACATAGAATCTTTAACACACATCTGGCTTGAAAGAGATGGAACTCAGTCCCTATAGGCTTTGCTTTTCAGACTGAGGGGCTGGTAGTTGAAGAACTGATTTCAAATACCAGCTGAGAAAAACTGGATTTATTATTAAAGGAGAAATACAAGCCATTAGGTGTAACTTCCTAATTTTTGCTTTCTGTTCTGTTTCTGAGGTGTGGCTTCTCACTTATATCCAGGGACAATTTTCATGCCAAATTTCAGCAATGAAAGTTTATGAGGTTCTTGATGAACGTAGAGACCTCAGCTTCCAGATGTAAAAAATTCTAAGAACGCTCCAGATCATCTTTGACTGACATTGTAGCAGCAAGTGAGTCACTGTGAGGCTCTTGTACACTGTCAAGTTAGGTTTTTTTCTGTATGCTCAGGAATAAAGCAAAGTAAGAGTTGTTTTAAATTGAAAATTAGGAGTGAAAATAATAGAAAAACATGATTTTTATTAAAAACACACAACCTTGGTAATACAATCTATTACTTTCATAATAAATCTAAATACGAAGTTTCAGATTTAAACAAATGCATAAATAATTTAAGTGAAATGGCTCAGCTTCAGTCCCATTAAACTTAGGCTCCTAAGTGCCTAAATAGCCTGAGGAATGGGATTCAAGCACTTGAGGAAATTTTACTCAAATGGTAATAGACCCTTACAGCAAATTCCCTGTCGTGCTCAGCGAGTGCTCTCTGCGAGACAGTAACTCTGCCACGGAACAGCATTTACTATCAATTTTTAAATTGTTTTATGTATTTGCCATTGAGGCACTTTCCATCTTTTCCTGTATGGACTGAGGGCATGACTGGAAATTGCGCTTCTGATGGAAAAGTCTTGGAGAACTCCCTAGAAAATCGCTAAGCAAGTGCTCCGAGGAGGACTCCGAGCGGGGCCGCGCAGGCTGCCGGAGCATCCACCGTGAGACCGCAGGTCCGTGCGCGGGGTCGCGCCGGGCGGGACCCCCGGCGGTGCCAGACCGTGTCCCCCCTCCCGCAGCAGCGCGGGGACCGTGCCCGCCGACCCTGCCTGCGCTCCGGCGGGGGTGCCGCGCTGCCGCGGGGGTCCCTCCGCTCCGCGCTGCCCCGCGGGCACCCCCGGCTCGGCCCGGCCCGGCCCGGCCCGGCGCGGCGCCGCCAGCAGAGGGCTCGCTCGGCCCGGGGAGCCGCGGGCAGCGCGTCCGCAGCGGCGCCGCGGGCGGGCAGCGCACTCCGCGCCCATGTGCGGGGCCGGCCGGGCGGCCCCCGCGGCCGCGCAGCGCGGGGAGGGCGCGGGGAGCCCGCGGGCCCCCCGGCGCGGATCCCCCTCCGCGGGCGACCGGGCCGGGCCGCGCCGGGCCGGGCTGGCGGGAGGGGCCGCGCCCCGCGCTCCGCGCCCGCGGGGTGAGAGCGGCGGGGCCGCGCCCGGAGCCGCCGGGGGAGCGGGCGCCGGGCCGGGCGGTGCCCCGGGCAGCGCAGCATCTCCCGCCCGGGGCGCGGCGGCCGCAGCGTGCGGAGGGGCGGGGGGAGGCGGCGGCTCCCGCCTCAGCCTTCCCCAGCAGAGGGTGCCTGCCGGTGGGAAGGGGAAAGCCGCGCTCTCCTGGACTTTTGTGGGAGTGGGGGTTGTGTTGTGTGTGTGGTGGTGTGGTTTTTTTTTTTTTTTTTTTTTCCAGGGGGGTGGGGTGGGTTAGGAGAGAGTCTGTGGTTTCCATGGAGATGAAGCTGAAAGTGCAGGAAATTTAAAGGCTTTGGGTCCTTGCAAAGCAGACAAACTGGTGCCAACGTGCGTGGCTGCTGTTGCTGCTGAGGAGGCTGCTTTGCAAACGGCGGAGAGGAGCGGGGAGGAAGAATCGGCAGCAACTTCTTCCACACGCACGGGCAGACAACGAGGAGCGGCAGCAGCCAGCAGAATTCTCAACAAAAAGAGGCATCTCCCGTTCCCGGGAAGGGCGAGAAGAAGCAGCAACCGCAGCAGAATTTTGGAGCGGCTCCACCAGGAGAAATTTTATAGAGAAGGCTACAAGAGAGTGTTTGCAGGGGGCTTGTTCTCCGGTCTTATCAGGGGGCTGTCTTTGCTGGTGGTGCGGCGAGTGGAGGTGATCCCCTCAAAGACGAGCTATTTTGGATATCCCCGTACAAGTTTTCTGATGTATTTGCTTGCACCTTCTTCCCCTGCTGTTTGGTGAACCCAGCCCCCCTTCCCCCCCCCCCCACCGGTCTCCCAAGGATGGATCATTCCCAGTGCCTTGTGACTATATACGCTTTGGTGGTTCTGCTGGGTCTCCGGCTAGAGCAGGGAGCCTGCCAGCACTATCTGCACATCCGACCTGCTCCCAGCGACAACTTGCCCTTGGTGGATCTAATCGAGCACCCGGACCCTATCTTTGACCCCAAGGAGAAGGATCTTAACGAGACCTTGCTAAGGAACCTCATGGGCGGACACTTCGACCCTAACTTTATGGCTATTTCCTTGCCCGAGGACCGGCTCGGAGTGGACGATCTAGCTGAGCTGGACTTGCTGCTCAGGCAGAGACCCTCGGGAGCGATGCCCAGCGAAATCAAGGGGCTGGAGTTCTACGATGGGCTGCAGCCGGGCAAGAAGCACAGGCTGAGCAAGAAGCTGCGCAGGAAGCTGCAGATGTGGCTTTGGTCCCAGACCTTCTGCCCGGTCCTATACACGTGGAACGATCTCGGCAGCCGCTTTTGGCCCCGGTATGTCAAAGTGGGCAGCTGCTACAGTAAAAGGTCTTGTTCAGTCCCCGAAGGCATGGTTTGCAAACCTGCCAAGTCCGTGCATTTAACGATCCTGAGGTGGAGGTGCCAGCGCCGGGGAGGGCAGAGGTGCACATGGATACCCATCCAGTACCCCATCATTTCGGAATGCAAGTGCTCCTGCTAGGGCTGGCACTTACCTTCTCGCCCCTTCTCCAGCGGACTCACGTGGACCTTTGCTGCAACAGAAATAAAAGACATTTGCTTTCTGGTTAACATTGTAATGCACTGTAACGTGTAGGAGAATGTATATTGTGTGTATATATGGCACCGGTTTAATATACTATTAAAAGGTCAGTATTACTCGTGAAATAATCAGAGCCTACTGTATTTTTAAGACTATTACCCTGATCGTTGCTAATGTATCTTTTTTTTTCTTTTTTCTTTTTTTTTTTTTTTTTTTTTTTTTTTTTTTTTTTTTTTTTTTTTTTTTTTTTTTTTTTTTTTTTTTTTTTTTTTTTTTTTTTTTTTTTTTTTTTTTTTTTTTTTTTTTTTTTTTTTTTTTTTTTTTTTTTTTTTTTTTTTTTTTTTTTTAATAAAAGGATTAAAAAATACAAACCAAACTTTTTGATAAGAAAACGTTTAAAGCTATTTTCCATTATTTGGAAAGCGTGTGTGTGAGTTTTTGGGGTTTTTTTCCTTACGGACTTTAGATTTAAAATAAAAGTGAATAAACGCCTAGAGCACAATGTTATTGTAAATAGAGAGAACAGTTTGAATGACTTAATCCTATGTAAATGAAGAGTATCTGCTATTTATTCTTTATATCCTTGTAGTAAAAGTGCAGTGCAGAATTAAAGTCAACCACTAAAACACGAGCCGTTTGGATTCTGTTTGCTTTTTGGTTTGGCCGCCGTCGGGGGGGCTTTCTTCTCTCTCCTCCTCGTTCTCCACGCTCAGCAGGACGTTTCGTGGTGGCAGGGGGAGGTGGGAACCTGCTCACGACTCTGCTAAGAGGGACTCCTCGGCACCTACCCTGCCGGAGTGCCGGGGGGTCCGGTGCCGCGGGGGGGTCCCGGCGCTGCTCTGTCCCCCCTCGGAGCCGCTCCCGCGGCCGCGCAGCCCCCGACGCGCTCGGCGGCAGCTGCTCGGGGATTTTTTTTTTCCTCCTTTTTTTTTTTTTTTTTAACTGCTTGACATTTCATTTACAACGGGACACGTGTCTTTCACACCTACCATTGTGGTGGGACACTGCTGAAACTTGACCCCTGGGCTTTGGGGGTTTTCAGCGCAGACACGTTATTAGGCTGATCCTGTGACAGCCCCGCACACCGCCCGGCCCGGCCCGCTTTTAACTCTTTGGGCTCCCGCAAGCGCCGAGCGATCGCTCTCCTGCCGGGCTGCCCCCTCCTTCCCCTGGGAACGCCGGGCTGTGCGGGTGCTCCGCTCCCGTCCCGCCTCCCGGGGCCGCCCCCGCCGCACTGGGACCGGCCCGGCCCGCGGGGCTCCCACAACTGCCCCGCGGCTCCGCCGGGACCCGGCCCAATTCCCCGAGCGTTTGACTTGTATGTGCCCGGAGACCCGACGGTTCGTATCTCATAGATACCAACTGCGAAAACAAACCCTCCACGTGCTCTTCAAAGGCTCCCTGACAGTGCAAAAAAAAAAAAAAAAAAAAAAAAAAAAAAAAAAAAAAAAAAAAAAAAAAAAAAAAAAAAAAAAAAAAAAAAAGCCTTTTCCTTATTTATCTTGGAATCAAAAAACTTTTTTTTTTTTTTCCTTCCCCAAGACTCGGAGGGAATCGATGCTAATCATTTTAAACCCGTGGATCTTTCACTGAGACAACCCAGCCCTGCTTTTCTCTGACGCTTAGTTCGGTATCTCCAAATGCATATTCATTCCCTCTCTCCCTCTTTCGGTGCGTTTTACCGCCCGTCTCTTTGCTTCTAATTTCAATAGTTTGGGGGGGGGGGGGGGGAAAAATCAGATCTTGGGACATTTAGGGTATTCATTAACCTAGTGAAGAGGAACAGAGGCATTATTACTCACATAGAAGGCACCCTGCCCCCATGTCTATCTAAGGGTTCATTGTAAAAGGATTAAAAGTTAAAGACCTTCATCTTATGATTCTTTCATTTAATCTTCGTGGCGCCTGAAAGACATGCTGGATGGATGATCACATTTAAAATATTCCTAATGTCGGCTACCTTAGGACTCCAGGCAGGGCAAACAAACGTAATTTATTTCCAGAAGAAAGGGTATATTGAGATGTTTAAGTTTATGAACCACCATTACCATGTATATTTGTTAGGTTCTGACAAATACCCAAATAACATTAAAATCACCCATTCATCACATATGAATTTATGCAAAACCTTGTATGCCTGGGGCCAATATTTTTTTAGACAGAGTTTCACTTGCAAAAAAAAAAAAAGTTTATTTAAAAAAAAAAAGCAAGAGTTTTTCATGACTGGTAAACACGAGAATTATGTGAACAGAAACTATTTCATGCTGGGATGGCAGCCAGGGACTCGGGAATGTCAACAAAAGTTCTCCGAAGGTTGAAAATGTCACTGGATTACAATACAAGGTCCTTTGCCCCATTAGCAAACTTTACTAAAGTGATATTCCCACTACTTAGTGAGGGGGCTCACCCATTGATTTATCTGTCAGTGATCCCAGCAATGGGGCAAACAGAGACTTCATCTGGAAACCACCTCTGACTGCTTGCTTCAAGATTGAAAATGTTTCTGTGTGCAGAGCTTGTGTATGCCTTGGTGAGTGCTGTGCGAGAGCAAAAGGAGTGTGCTGTTAATGTAGTCTAAGTATCTATCAGCAGATCTGTCTTATTTTTATTCCAAGAGTCATTGTAATGAGAGAGTCATGTGTACACGTATGCTTTCTCAACCAATAACACCCTGTTAATAATAAATTTACAAGAATATTTTGGGTTTTAAAAAAACCAAGTTTCACCATCCGCAAGGCCCATGATTTTTCTATTTAAATAAATAGCTAAATTTTGTCAGCTGGTAAAACAAAAATAAACTAGTAGTTTTCACTGTTGTTTCTGGTCAGGTCCACTTTCTGGTCCTCCTGCCCTGGTGTTGAAATGTTTGGCTTGAAGTGGAAGTGTTTCAAGCCAAACAAATAAAATATCTTTCTGATGAATGTTTCTATGCAAATCTATTTAATATTGGATTTTGTAATATGTTTTTAAAGCAAAATTGAATTATAGCTCTTTTAAATAGAAATCAATTCATAGCACAGCCAATTTCTGTTTGCTGATCTTTGTAGTGGCATCGTAAGACCTCACAGAGACCACTGTGGGGAAGAAATAAGAAGGGAAAGGTTGAAAGTTTGCTTTTAGTTACTCTTCAGTTTCTTCTTTTGCAATTTTAGGGTCTGAAAGCATAATACTGGGAATTTAAATTAATTTCTGCTTCAGCCATAGACTGTGTGACCTCACTGGGGTATGTAACCTGTGTGCTGTGGTTCCTGATGAGGAGTGCAGGGTGTCATCATCTTTGTCACTGTAGTTAGTCTTTATCCAGAATAGTTTGTTCTCTCACACCATGTGTTTATTCAAAATCCACTATAGGTAAGGCCTAAGAGTAACACAGTTGATAAAAGGATAAAAAAGTAGACCAGAGTAAGTTGTCCAGAGGTTTTTAATAAGCTCTTTCAGAATTAGTGCAGGTAGTGTGATGAAAATCAACCAGCTAGAAAACATTAGACACACCATTAAAGTGCTATGTCCTCACACATGTACTTAACTGAAAAAATGGATTTGATTCTTTTTATAATTTTCAAAATACTACCACAAAGATGAATCCTTGAGATTGCATAAGTGCACAGTGGAGTCATCACCAAAACAACCACAGCCAGAAATTACGGCAGTGATATTTGTATAAATACCGGACAAGTTTTTGCTCTCTCATAGTTTTAATAGAGAAATAATCTTAATTTAGTAACATCAACACTTCACCTTACTTGGGCTGTGTTGTGTAAATGTAATCTGCACACCACGTTGGCTGGATCTTGGACCCATTAAAAAGAAGATATTCCAGCTCGGAGATTTGCCAGGAATCTTCACTGAAAGTTGAAATAAATATAATGACGTCACCATATAATATAACATCATAGCTTTCAAGGTAAGCCAAACCAAAGGTATGTTGGCAGGGGAGTGCTGCCACCTGGTAGATCCATGCTAGGAATAGATACGATACTCCCATGCAGAGGGGAGGAGAGCAGCCACAGTCCTCCCGGAGTGCCCACACGGATCGTGCAGTCTCTCTGTGCCTGCAGCTCCTCCGGGAGCCTCGCTGCACCAGAGAGCTGCAGAACCTGTGTCAATGCTCTCTTTTAAAGAGAGCAGCTACAGCAAATTTGAAGAGACCCTTTCATTCCCTCTTCCCTGCTCCCAGGCCGAGCAAGAAGCTCCAATGGTTAAAAGGAAGGGAATGAATACATTCGCTTGAAACAACTGTTGGAATGGTTCAGAGGGGGAACAGAAATATTCAGCAATCAACATTAAAGACTCTAAATCCTCGGAGGTGTTATTGCAGGATCAGCAGCTTACAGCCCTCTTCGTGAAGGCTGGGTACCAGTGTATTACTGTTAAGTCCCCTGCAGCTTGTTCCCTGTGGGGAAAGCAGCTGCTCTGTGTGATGGGCTTTTGAGGAGTCTGGGAGAAAAGCTGCTGGAAGAGAAATGTGCAGGGGTATAACGTCACAGTGAGTCACTTCTCCCTGCTGAACTGGAGGACAGGAGTGCAGAGATGGCACAGTTTAGCCTTTGACTCTGTCGGGCGATAGCTCAGATGGAGACCAGCTGAGAGCAGATGCTCTGGGGCTCACTGGTTGTGCGTTCTGCCCTCTCTAGGGGTATATTTATGCTGCCTTCAAGCATCATTCAGCGCTCAAGGCCAGGCCAACCTGTGTGTGCAGTCAGGCCTGGTCAGCCTGTGGATGTCCTGGAATGCTTTGGAGCCATCCCTGTGAGGGGCTCTGGCAGTGTGCGGGTGCTGCTGTCCAAGAGCTGTCACCCAGCTGAAGGCAGCAGCACACACATCCTAGCACTGACCAGCCTGGAGCCCACTCTTAACCTAAGGCAGACATTCCCCAGGACTCAGATCTCTCCCTTGGAGAATCCCAGTGTAGTCACCGCATCAGATAATCATAACACAGTTTGAAAATAGGTTTCACACTCCCTCCTCGTTGTTTTTTTTCCCCTCATGAGAGGGGGAGTGGCAAGGCTGCCATCACAAAGAACGTTACTCAGAACCAGAACAGATCTTAAGGCACAACACTAAAAACCTGTATGCAATGGAGAAGGACTGGGTGGCTCGAGGGATTGGTAATGGTATAAAGAGCTTTTCACCACTAGGCTTCTGGCTCCGATCCAGAGGTAGTAACTGAAAGCCACAGTCATCTGATGC